CTCTGCCTCCTGAGTGCTGGGATTAAAGGCATGTGCCACCATGCCAGGCTACTCTATTTATTTTTTTTTTTTAAATATTTTATTCTTTTTTAACAAAGCATAGGGTAGGGGTTTATTTACATAAGGGTGGGTGCCCCATATTGACACCTGTACTGTGATGAATGTGTATTTAAGTCCACACTCAAATACAGATCCTGTGACCTCCTGACAGCTGCACAAAATGGTGAGGGAGGTGCCTCTTGGTATTCTCAGCTTTTATATTCTTTGCCCTTCCCCCCACATGCAGCTAAGGTGGACTGATTGGATGGGAGGGGTATGTGACCTCCCCCCCCCCACTCCTTGATGATCATGGGAAGGAGGTGTGACTAGAGCTTGCTGGCATAGTGGTTAGAGGACACTTACAGGTAACATTCCACCCCTTCTTCTGGCTCTTACATTCTTTCTGCCAACCTCTTCCCCCAAAGTCCCTGAGCCTTGGAGGGAATGGCAGGTGTGGGATGATCTTTCTCCCATTGTGGCAAGGCACTGAACTTTCAGGTCTCTGCATGATCTGTTTTCCATGGGCTGTTGGCCAGTTTCAGTGGGATTCCATCTGCTATAAAAACACACACAGTAAGAAGCAAGAACATCTAAACAATGACTGCTATAATAACTTAACCTATGGGTGTAAACACAAATGCTTGGTTAACACTTTAGCAGAGGCACCATGTTCATCTAACAAAGCAATTGCAGTGACTATTTTATTTCTTATATTTATTTTTTTATGTGTATGTTTTGTCTGCTTGTATGTAAGTGCACTGTGTGCATGCAGTGCCCACAGAGGCTATAAGATGACATAAGATCCCCTGGCGCTGGAGTTACAGATGGTTGTAAGCCACCATGTGGTTGCTGGGACCCTGCAAGAGCAGCAAGTGCTCTTAACTGCTGAGCCATCTCTCTAGCCCCTGGGTCTCTTCTAAATGAGCTCTGCTCCTGCGTATTAAGCTACTCTTGTACCTGACAGATAAGATGCGGAGCCATGGAGTTTGGTGGTCTTGAAGACAATATTTAGAAGAGCCACTTCACTTCTTAGACTTCTGCTCCTTCATTAATTCACAGCTCTGACCCTAGAACTTCAAGCCACTGGGATGTTGGGCCACAGTATCCTCCAGGTTTCTGAGTGTCATAGATCAATTTGTTTTAAAAAATGTTAAGTATAACATATGGCCATCAAACTTTAATTTTGTCATATAAGGACATTTGTCAGTATAACTACCATCAGAAAACCAAACCAGACCAAACCAACCAACCAACCAACCAACCAGCCAACCAACCAACCCTGTGATTTCCCTATCAAAAAAATATAAAACATGTCAAATATACCTTTATGAGACTTAATACATTTATTTGTTTATTTTTCTTATCTTGCTATCCATCTCTGAAAAATATGTATTTTCTGCAGACTCATACTCAGTAAGCATAGTCTCAAATTCTTAATGGAAACTTCAGGTAGCCTAGTATTTACTGTATATGATGTCAGTTACCAGGTTTATATCAGTTACTTTCCAGCATTGAATGAACTGTTTTAGCTGTTATGTTTAATTAGACAAATATTCCTATATTTTATATTTCTCTCTGCTGGTATTAATAAAACAGAAAAAAGTGGCATATGTAGGTATGAATATGAGCTAGCATTTAGAAGATAAATTTGTCACTCAAATGGTAGAATAACTGATTTACCTACACAACATGTAATTTCTAAATTTTATATATGTTCATCTATCATCTATCTGTCTGTCTATCTATCATCTGTCTATCTATCTATCTATCTATATCTCACTATGTAGACAAGGCTATCCTCCCACTTGCTATGCAGGCCAGGCTGTCCCTCAAGCTCATAGTAATCCTCCTTCTTTAGTATCCCCAGTTCTGGAATAACCTCTATCTATCTATCTATCTATCTATCATCTATCTATCTATCATCTATCTATCTATCTATCTATCTATCATCTATCTATCATCTCTCTCTCTCTCTCTTAGGCTGTAGTACTACATAAATTCTATTGATTCTCTTTAATTGGAATTTCAGTGTCAAATAGAGTTTTATTATAAGACAGTTACGGGCTGTCATATTGTCACATTAATTTTAATAATTGTTCAGTAAAGAAGCCATAGGAATAGATAATATGATGTGCATTTTGATGAGGTTGTAGTTGTAACCTCTGTTTATGGCAGCAAAGTTTTGTTAACTGACAAGCTGTCAAGCACTTTGGGTTTTCCTTTCTATTTTCCAGGTTGGTTTATCAGTCTGTTCAGGAGCTGTGAACTGAGAGCCACATAATGAGGCTCCTATACCAGGGTTTTCTATCCTTATTCATGATATACACACTGAATTCATACAGCAAATATTTGTTAACCATGTTCTAAATGCTGTTGAATATAGAAATACATAGACATGTTCTACTTGAGAGTGATAACAGAGAGGCAGAATACCTATGTATAGGTGAATGTGACCCACATTTATTAAGCCATGATGTAAACCTTATGTGGTAAGTTCTTAAGAGAAGGCTAGACTACTATCGAAGTTGAGAGGAGGAAATGATTCTAGGCCTAGGTGATCAGGGAAATGATGAAGCTCAGTGGTGGAAGAATTATTTTGTATCCATAACATAAAGCTTTGTGCTGTCTCTAAATACACATCTATATTCTGGAATGATGGTGAAAGGTAGGTGGCTAAATGCACTGGCTTGGAAATCAACTTTTGTTCCAGGCCCAGCTGCCTTGAAACCTCATTTTATGCCCTTGAGTGTATAAAATCTATGTAATAATATGTGTCCAGCATATCTCACTATGATAAATGAGATAATATGAATGCCTAAGCTGCTCCCTGTAGTGAAAGTCAGATTGCTTGGCAGGTGTCTATTTTTTTTTTCCAGACACCTCAGGCCATACATTTGAATGATAGTAAGCACAGCTTCCCATGACTAACAGGATTAGTGTCCTTACCAAAGCGCTCAATTTATTGCTAGGGAATAGCATATTCTGTTAGCATCTGAACTGTTGTTTGAAAAAATTGTCGTATTTATTCCTTAGAGAAGATGCCTGCATGAATACAGAGCAGTATTGCTGAAATCACTGGAATATGCTAAAAAGGAAACAAACGCTTATTGGGCTGCTGCTGGTTTAGGGACTTTACAATAGTTTATAAATTCTTAAGTCATCTTCACTTAATAGCAGAGTAAACTGAGGCTTAGGTAAATTTTAGAAGGTTGCTTCGCTCCTGCAGCTGTCTGAAAGTTATCTGTTGGAACATGTTAGTATTGTGATGTACTCCTCACTCCAGTTTAATGTCTTTCTTACAGGCTAGTAGTGTAAAGCAACTATGTTCCTGGTGTGTGTGTGTGTGTGTGTGTGTGTGTGTGTGTGTGTGTGTGTGTGTACACATTTCTATGTTGCTTATTTGTTGGTCTGCTTGTCCATAGGTTACTTCTAGAACTGCTGGAGCTGCTGTTTGACAAGTTTAATGCTGTAGCCAGTGCACACTCTGTGGTGCTGGGGTACCTGCAGGACTCTGTTGGGACCCAGCCAACACAGCAGGAGGAAATCAAATTATATGATATGGCAGATGTGTGGGTGAAGATCCAAGATGTGCTGCAGGTAAGGGAAGGCTGTCTTCTTGATTTGGGACAATAGTTTAGAACAATAGAAAGCCATTACCCAAAGTAATTAAGAAGCATAAACAAAATGAGGAAGTAAAGCTTTCATTTAAAGATGATGTCATTAACTTTTAGCATCTTCAAAGGAACTTTTAACAATTTGTTTTTTTACTTCTTGGCCAGGCTTTAAAAATAAGAACCACTTTTCAATATGTAGCAATCAAAGATATATACTATCTGGCTTTCTGTTCTAATGTTCTTTACTTCACTGGAATCAGTCACATGCTTAGGAAATAAATGGCCTGGGTTGCTAACGGAGGAAGATCATGAATGTGAGACCATTCTAAGTTCTACAAGGAGTTCAATGACAGCTTTTGACTGTGGAGTGAGACTTGTTGCAAAAGAAGGAGACGGAGGGGGAGATAACAAATATTAAAATGTACTTAAATGCTATTTCATGAACATGAATGAGCTTAATTTTACTGATCATTTTCTTAACAATAACTTTTCCATGCATTGGGCTACATGATAGGTCAAGGGCTTATTCTGAGAGATGAGAATAAATCTATAAGGTAGAAATGTATCATTTGGTTGATTTGTTGATCTCTAGAGAAATGATAATACTGTTTGATGTACTGTTGAGATGGCCTTTAGAAATTATATTACCTATTTTTCTTTGCTAGCAGAATGTACCTGATATGGCCAGATGAAAATTAGAAGTACAATTAGAGTTATCTGAA